GAAATGACAAACAATTTGAATTTCTGAAAACTAGATTCAAAGAGTTACAACTATCACCAAGGCATTTTATTAAATTTATTATAGATTGGGGTCAGTTCTCTTTTTGCATTTCAAGTGCAAAAAATTACGTTTCAACACTTCAAATCTTTTAACACTTTCTCCAAACGCATCAGAAACTCACTTGAGACTCCTGGGACCCCATTCAACCATTTCAATAAGTTCGTGTACTCTATAAGAACTTGTCCAATGACTTAAAATGCATTCAGACATATCACAACTAAAAATTAATATCCAAAACCAAAAATATGACCTTTTAAAAGTTTTTAAAGTTTTAAATTTCACAAGATAGATACGAATAACTCCAGATCACCTCTTAACCATACAAATAAGTCGAAATAATCTATACAGGCTTATCCAAAGGCTTAAAATACGAAACAAAATGCAATAACGTAAAAGTCAAACCCAAGTCAAACTTATGAGCTCTAAAGTTCTTCAAATTATTAACTTTCACCCTAAAGCGCTGAATTATTCCCAGGTCACCCAAGACCCATTTTAAACATACGTACAAATTCGAAATTACTATATGAACCTAACAGAACCTTCAAATCACTAAAGCCCGTTTACCCGAAATGTGCTTTTGGTCAATTCTATTAACTTAAGACCTCTAGTTAGGAACAAAGTAATCCAAATTACTCCCAAACTTCTAGAAACTCAAACCAACCATACATGCAAGTCATGAAACATTTTGGAACCTACTCGAGGTCTCAAGTCACATAACGTGATACTAGAACTCAAAACGACTAATTAAATTGCTACAAAATGTATGGATTTAGGTATATTTCCTTTATTAAAGTATTGCTATTTGATATTTTGTGAAAATAATTAAGTTCCACGACCCTATAACTATGTCGGATTTTCAATTAGATTGTTCATGTCTCACGATCTATTACCGTGAAAATTCCTTACACAATTATTTAGTTTGGTTCCTTATCGTTTCTTAAATTTTTGAAGAATAAAGTAACATAATACTCCATAAGTTGACAAGTTCCATCGCTGGTAAGATGCCGGTGACATGGAACTACTCCTCTGATTTATTTACTAGGGAAGTTTGAGTTTTCAAAGTTCAAAATAAGTGGTCGTAGTGTGAATCAATAACAAAAGCATCACACCAATTATACATGGTAGATACTAATGCCGAGTCAAAATTTAAAGTTTATGAGTACTAATTCATAACTCCTTTTCTAACGTATTAGGTTCGCAATTAAATAATTATATATATTTAATAAATATTCTAATATAAATTCATGGTATAAGTAAAACGTATTAAGTTTGTCCGAACCTATCAACAATATTCTCCCTCCGCCCAGGATACTATTAATACCTTATAACAGCATCAATCAAACTGAAAAATTGACCTAAAAAATTATTGCAAGATTAACGTGGGGATATATATTATTCAATTAAAAATAGGGTTGAAAATAATGCAATCAACAATAAGTGATTCGGTTAAAAATTAAAACAAAATTTGATTTACAACTGTACAAAAGATGTATATCAAAGTGTCTTTGTAGCAATTTAAAATATGGATGTTGACACATCATCTTCATCCAACTCATAGCATTAACTTCTGCAATAATATATTTATTGGGCTTGGAGTAGTATATTTATATTACAATGATTACAATCTCATATATGTATTATTATCAACACATCGCCTATTTCATTCTGTATTTTCTAAAAGTAAACTCATTATGCTAACCAGAGCCATTTTCACACTGTCATCAAGGATTTCTAATTTAAATTAAATCACATTAAACTAATTAATAATGTCACTTAGACAGTTAGAAGAATCTTTCTTTGTTGCCAATAAATTAACAGTAAGTAGTGCTTGGCATCAATTATATCAGTCTACCTTACACCTTTATCTACATTATATATAATGAAACATATCATTTTCTTCGTCATTAATTGCCAAGTTTATTAACCAATAGTGGGTGCATGGATTAAAATTAATTTACCAGTTCTACTAATTAACCATATAGTTTGATATGACTTTTACAGTTTTCAAAAGTTCGTTTATTTAAGTTTTATAATTCTAGACTTTTATGTTTTATTTTATTTATTAATTAGCTTTTCAGCCGTTACTTGAGCATTTTTCACTATCATTTATATCATAAGTAAATTAAATTAGTATTACTAAAATGTAATTGGAGAGAGTAGCAGNTATATATGCAACAAAAGAACGGTGCCCCATTTTGCTTCTCATACTTAACAACCTTTTTGTATTTTCACTTTTATACCCTTTTGTCTACAGTATCTTATTATATTCTTCTAATAATTCACTTTCTTAGTTTAAATGACCAAAATAACACTAATGCATTATTGTTATTGATGATAATCTTCCAACCCCTCCTCCCAAACTCCTTACCGTATATATTTTGTTTATCTCACTAGTTCACGCAACATAAAATCAAGATTATATATGTGTATATATGTGATTTTGTATGTATATATAATACTCCGTAATTAAGTCTCAATTCCAAGTAAATTAAAAGTCAATTATTTGAATTCTCACTTATCATATTTCTTCATTTAAGTTAGACTGATGCCATCATCATACTAAGTAAAAATAATAATAATAATAATAATAATAATAATAATAATAATAATAATAATAATAATAATAATATTTAAAGTGCACTATATTTTTACTTCATGAATTAATAAATTTTATACTTACCGTTTTCTTTTGTCAGGATTTGGGATTAACAATGTGAACAAACTCACTGAGATGGAGTTACGCATTTGATTATAAATGTCTAATTTTTTCTTCATTTGCATTTAATGGATTATTGGTTGGTAGGGTCCACAGGTCGCCATTGGTAAAAAAAATTTGACTCTATAAATTAACTACAGTGTTTGAGCTATTTTCAATCATAGGCAAAATAGCCCCACCTTTTATTGTTCTTTATCTTTTCAATAGAGTACGAGTAGAATTTCCATTTTTTAGCACTCGCAAATCACACGTTAAAGGGTGTTAATTCCTTTTCGATGATTTATGTGATGGCCCTATTCTTCTCTTAAGGTTAAATGCTTGTGCATAACATTATGTTCCTTCAAATAATATATTGTGAAACCTAAAACGGTTCAAATATGTACCCTAAAGTTTGCAATTTGTTTTACAATTTTCTTCCATTTGCTTATCCATTCATGAAAGCCCTACTTATACCATCTTCTTGTTCTCTTTTTATTTTTATTTTTAAAAAAGAACTTTGCTCCCTATTTTTTTTCCACTTTAGGCTTAAAAATAAAAATAAAAAATGGTAAGAACGTTCTGCGTTTGAAATTCTCTACCATTTATTACGGTAGGTTGTAGGCCTAACGGAATTGGACAGAATTTACTTGAATTCGATATGTTTGCCTAATAAGATGACCTACATCTAACTAGTTTAATTCAATATAAATGGATCCCACTTTTTAAAAAGACCTTTCGTAAGTTCCACTTGAGTTTTTTTTTTCCCTTAGGTTTTTGGACAAATTACTATAACTAATTTTTTTCAAACTCTTAAATTGTCATCCTCCAATTGTAGGGTCCCCTACACCTACGTGGCTACACAAGCACCACGTATAGTCTTACAAATTTACTTACTCAAGAAAAAATAAAACAAATTTATCAAAAAGTATTACTACTAGGAAAGATCCCTCTTGAACTTACAACTAACAATAATTCTATGAGTTTATTGTATATAATAGTTAAAAAAAATATTTACACCAGCCATCATTTAGGTGTTTTTAGAACATAAGTTGATGTACTGTTGAAATTGCGGATCCAGACCTTAATATATTTATTGAAATTATTGCGATTTTTTATTTGAACCCATTGAACAACACTTTATCCATGTCTATACACAATTGTGTTGCTTGTAAGATCATTATAAATAAATTAACCTGAAAAAGATTAACTTAAATCTTACTGTAATTAAATTATTTCTTTATCCTCTAAACAACCTTCAAGGATACTTTAGGAAATTTCCCAGAATTAAACTAATCCAGGATTTACAGCAAAGGAATCTCACATATCATTCATCAGGTGAACTAATATAAAATTAATCAGATTAGCATCTACATAATTTAAAAGGTCAATGGGATTCATGTTAGGGATACTTTTGCCTTTTCATAGCCCCCATCTATTCTTTGTACCCCCAAAAAAAAACTTTTCTCCTTTTTATTTGCCTTTTTTTACAAGTCTAGCCAACAGCCACTGAAATCCAAAATGCCTAAAAAGCAAAGATGACCTACTTGGAGCCGGCTTTTAACTATATTTAGCGGGACAGACAAAAACCAACTTATTATCTCCATCGTCGCTATCTGCAGCTTTGCCGCTGCTATTTTCACCTAAGAGATTAAAAAAATAAATACGCATAAAAGTAAAAGTAAATTCAATATTTAATATATATACATAAATTTTTTAACTTTATTATAATGACATACACAGCAATTTTAGTATTAATATTTGAAAAAATAAGTAAATAAATAAATTACTGTGACGTGTGTCATTTTTATATTTATACCTAAATTTTAATTTTATTTATTATTTATAAATACATATTATAAAAAATTCAACTAAGCGATGCACATGACACTGCTTGTAATCAGTGGCGGACGCACGTGATGGCAAGCGGGTTCAATTGAACCCGCTTCATCAAAAAATAATATTGTATATATAGATAAATTAANCTTTTTTCTAATCTATACCTAATGTATATGAGTAGAAGCCAGCCTGTACATACACATTATTCATTATGTATTTTATATATATCACTAATATATCTTTGTTTAGAAACAATTATTTTATGATTTTTTTTTCCAATTTATATTTGTACCAGCTTGAATGAGCCAAAGTAACCCTTCTGGTTCATTATATGTTGATAATAATAAAGAAAATAAAATTCGCTTTTGTATTCTTTTTCTTTTTGTCTACACTTTTTCTTTGTATTTTAAGGGGTGTGAGATTGACAGACAGATCCCACCGAAATAAATTACTAACAAATTCACCACATCCCATCTTCATAAAACCCACAGAATTCACCATCTTTTTTTTTGTTGCTGATATATTTTTATTATAATTTCAGCTGTAATTGCTGCAGAGAGAAGAGAGGTGACTCCTCTTTTTTCTTTTTTTAGTTCTTTCAGAAAAGAAAGAAAGATGCTTGGTGTCTCCTCAGGTTTAATGTCTACTACTTCAGGTGGTGGAGGTACGGCCAATATTTCAGCACCACCACCGCAAGAAGCTCCGGAAAGTGGCGGAAGTAGTGAAGGTGGCGGTGGCGGTGGCGGTGATGTGGCAGCTGCAGGTGGCTTTAGTGAAGAAGGAGAAAGAAATTCAGGTGGAAACCGATGGCCAAGACAAGAAACTTTAGCTTTACTAAGAATTAGGTCGGAGATGGATGTTGTTTTCAGGGATTCAAGTCTTAAAGGACCCTTGTGGGAAGAAGTTTCCAGGTACTTAATTTTTATTTTGTTCTTTAGCTAGTTATATTAACTCCTCATCATTATCATGCATCGGATTCACTGTAACAGAATCTTTTTTGAAAAAAAATAATTAAAGATTTAGTTTTTTGGGAAACTAAAAGAGATCCATTGAAGTATTGCTTTTTGATGTAAAGTGTCATTGTTTCCAGTTCATTTATCAGGAATTCAGCAGTTTTTGGGGAATTCAGTGTCCAGTTTTTTGGTTATTCAGTTTTGTTGTTATGCATTTTCCTGCCAATTCCAGCAACAAATTTAGCATGATTATTCACTCTCTGGAATTCCAATTCTCCTCTTAATTACTTCAACCCTTTTTGCGCTTCTCTTTTTCTTCAAAATTCAGCAATTTTAAAAAAGAATTCTAGTACAAAACCTGATATATAGATCTTGAAAGATGACTGTATTCATTTTCTTTATCCTCTTGTTTTCCATTGAATGTGCTTCTACTGTTTTAAAGGGATTCTTTCCACCTTTATATATGGGATCTTTCATTTCTTCCTCCTTGTTAAGTACATGTTAATTACCTTAGTGTTGAATAATGATTTCTTAATCTATATGTTTATTTAATGTGGTAACTACAAGTATGAAATGTTGTTTTATTAAGAATATAATGAATACTCTTGAAGATAAGATGAGTTGTTAATTAGATTTGTATCTTTCTTTTTGTTTCTCTCTTTTATTCCAATTGTTTTCATTGCCAAAACTGTGTTATTATCAGGAAATTGGCGGATCTTGGTTATCATAGAAGTGCCAAGAAATGTAAAGAGAAATTCGAGAACGTTTACAAGTATCACAGGAGAACTAAAGATGGCCGTGCTTCTAAAGCAGATGGCAAAACCTATCGCTTCTTTGATCAGTTAGCCGCTTTTGAAAACAGTCCATCTCATAATTCTTTACCACCACCTCCATTGGCAGCTACTCCACTAACAATGGCAATGCCAATGCGAACAAATTCTTCAACAAATCTTCCAATTCCAATGTCACAAACTACGGCTCCACCAACACAAAACACATTCACTGTTTCTCAAAATAACGTTGTGACAGCAGCAGCAGCACCGACTGTTAATCATCCCTTGAACGTGCCCTCACTGCCACTGTCACAGCCACCACCACTACCATCAACGCAGCCGATAATTACTACAGTGAACCAAATAAATCGGCCTCAAGGTAACACCAGCAGCTTGCTGTCAAATTCCACATCTTCTTCATCGACGTCATCAGATGAGGATATACAAAAGCAGCATGGGAAGAAGAGAAAATGGAAGGATTTCTTCGAGAGGTTGACGAAGGATGTGATTGAAAAGCAAGAGGAGTTGCAAAAGAAGTTCTTGGAAACACTTGAGAAGCGGGAGAGGGAAAGGATGGTGAGAGAGGAGACTTGGAGATTACAAGAGATGACCAGAATGAATCGAGAACATGATCTTTTAGTCCAAGAAAGATCAATGGCAGCCGCCAAAGATGCAACAATCATTGCGTTCTTGCAAAAAATAACCGAACAGAAAAACACACCAATCCCGAATATTACTAATGATTCTCTAGCTCAAATACAATTTCAATTGTCCGAAAAGTCCCCGAGTGTGCCACCACATTCTCAGCCACAAAAACAAACACAACAACTAGCAGCACCAGCAACAGCGCCAGTACCAGCACCAGCACCAACTATTGCGGTATCAATACCGATGACAATACATGCCCAAGTACAAACACAGGCACCGTCATTACCAGTGGTCAAAACCTTTGAAGCTCCAAAACCTGATAATGGTGGCGAGAATTTTAGTCCAGCAAGCTCTTCAAGATGGCCAAAAGAAGAAATTGAAGCTTTGATTAGGCTGAGGACTAGCCTGGATCTAAAGTACCAAGATAATGGACCAAAAGGGCCACTGTGGGAGGAAATTTCAGCTGGAATGCGAAAACTTGGATACAACAGAAATGCCAAGAGATGCAAAGAGAAATGGGAGAACATCAACAAGTACTTCAAGAAGGTTAAGGAAAGCAACAAGAAAAGACCAGAAGATTCCAAAACTTGCCCATATTTCCACCAGCTGGAGGCATTGTACAAGGAAAAAGCCAAGAACGAAGTTGTACCAAATACTGGCACCGGGTTTGGATTAAAACCCGAAAATAATAACACAATGGTTCCCATTATGGCTGAACCGGAGCAACAATGGCCATTTCCTTCAAATCAACCACAGCAACAAGGAATGAGTAATATTATTCAAGATCACGATAATGAAAGTGACAGCATGGAAGAAGATGATTACGACGATGATGAAGATGAAGGAAATGCTTATGAGATAGTGACAAACAAACAACCATCATCAATGGCGGCTGCCACGGCCACTGCTGCTGCTGCTGCTACTACTGCAGTTTGAATAATTACGAAAACAAGAAAGGATATCAAATAGAGAGAGAGAAAAAAGAAGCAGTAGCATTAAGGAGTTAAAAAAATGTTGGCAAAGTGACTGTGCATTGGGAATGGTAAGTGGGTCAACAGATTTTGCAGAAATTTGTCGTATTCAGAAATTGCTGTTGGCGAGAGAAGACGGTGGCTGCAGTGAAAATATACATTTGGGGTAAAACCCCAAATGAAAAGGAAGGCATGTAATTTACACATTTGGGGTTTTAATTTCATTTTTTTTTACTTTTGGTTGGTAAGGGGTATAGTGTTAAGAGTTTTTTTTTTCTTTTTCTTTTGTGGTACAAGTTTATTTTCACTTTCATTATTTATTTATTATTTGAAAAATAAAGTTTATTGAGGGATGGGTGGAAAGAGAAGAGAGACATAAAGGAATAAATGCAGGGATAATGTTTGTACTTTTTTTTCTTTCTTGTTTTGTTCATGGGGTGTAAATGTGAGAAAATGGTTACTACATTTATAATTTTCTTCTCTTTTCTTTATTTTTGCCCTTTTATTTCAATGATTTTATCATATTACAAGTTCTTGATAATAGCTTATGCAAGAATTTAACATCTAATATACATAAAAAAATAACTTAATTTTTCACTCAGGGGCGAATGCATATTATACATTGCGGTATTATGGGACACCGCTTGGTTGAAAATTTTCACTAGATATTTAGAAAAAAAATAAAAATATTGAAGATACGTATAGAAAATGACATTGCTTGTCATTATACTGATTTATTTTTATTTGTCCATTTCTTCAAATTATGACACTATTTATGTAAAATTCTGTGTGTACGCCACTGGTTCCCGGCCCCTCCCCTAAATACGAGTTAAATCAGGTGGTGTACGTTGATATTTATTAGAATAATTAAAAAAATATATGTTCTTTAGCTCAATGAACGGAACAGAAGTAAAGAACAAAGACAATATAGAATAATTCTCATACACCAACTTGTGAGACACTAGAGAAAAATATTACCCAAGTTGCAAATACAGCTAGCAGTAGAATTTCGTACTTATGATTCCATCTCTAAACTAAAAAAGAAAGAGGAAAAAACAATAACAACAAACGGGATCATTGCTAATTATAGCTAGTGATTGTCAGTCAAGTTATTTTTGGTACTTGGTCTACTCATCACTTGTTCTTTTCATTTACATATTATTTTTGCAATCTCAGTTTTTTTTCCAGTCCTAATCATCTGATGAGATTTGAATAGCGTAACTTACTGATAGTCTATACCTTGGTGTTGTACAGGTTACGACCTTCTCTTTCTCTTAAAGATATATACACCACTAGCAAAAAGAAAAATCTAAAAAAAAGGGAAGAATCATTTTACAGTATACAAAAAAATGGGCAGGCAAAAATTATCATAATCAACCTTGATCATGATCAGCAACAAATTTAGGAAATATCGTATTATCTACACCATTATTGTCTGCGTAAAAACTTTAGGGATGGAAGTTACAGTATTAAAATATAAGAAGAGGGTTGGGAAAAGCAATTAATGATAAGGCAATAGTACTTAGTCCCTTCACTTTTACTTGGATTTTGCACTCTTCTTAAAAAATAATAAATGAAGTAATTATTTTAACATAATACCTATAATAATTTCAGTAACTGATGCTTGTATCAGGATAGGTTGTGTACATCACATTCACACCCCCTTGTCCCTTGGGGTGCGACTCTTTCCCTAATCTTACGTGAACGCGTGATATTTTTTAATACCTGTAATAATAACAACAATGCAAAAAGTTTTGGAAAATGATTTGATGAATGAGTGATTAATAATAAGGATAAAATAGGAAAATTATTTGCAAGTGGTGTCGTAAAAACTACAAAATAAGGGGGTTCCAAAAACTTTAAATCTAGTGAAATGAGCATAATTTTCATTCAAGTGTTGACTTAACATAGCCCACAAATGTTGTTAGAAGAAAGACAGATCAGAAAAAAGAAAGAATAATAATGATGATAAGTTGTCGAGTTTATGGTGATGCTTTTTCTTCCTCTTCCCACATGAAGTGTTGGGTTAAAAGAAATTCATCTATTCTAACTTTCTTGTTTTACAACTTTGGTTAGTATTTTGTAGAACATTTTACGTACTTTTTAGTTCAAAGTTCAACCATCAAAAGAAATTTTCAACCCTTCTATTAATAACGCGACTATAAAATAAATCATTGAAATTAATCATAGCTAGCACCTTTATGTAATTTTCTCTTTCATCATTTTCTTTTTAGCTCATACCTTCCAACTTGTATTTTACTTGTCATAAGAAGAAGCTCTATTTTACCGGGTCGATTCAATCATGTATATATCTGTGAATATATATTGTACAGGTCAAGTGTTACCATTTCATAAGCATCTGAATGTATCTTCAATTTAAGCAAGTAGATGTTGGGGGTGGGCCGGGGTGAAGTTACGTGTGGCCAAGGGTGGTCAACTGAACACTCTTCGTAGGAAAGTTATATTGTATATAAGGTAAAATTATTACTTGTTATTGATCAAAAAATAGACTTGAGCACCCTTGCATACAGAGGCGGAGCCATGATATGAAATTTTTGGGTTCGGGATTTTAACTCTTTTAAGTTACTGAATTCTAAATTTCTTAATAATTTGAATTTCTTAAGACAAATATAGAGTTTGGACCAAAGTTACTGAGTTCGATCAACCCGCGCCTCGATCTCTTGCTTGCATAGCCCACTAACAAAAATTGTTCACGTTTGAACGCTCTTATTGAGTTTTCTGGCGGTAGGGTGAAGGGGGTGGAGGTCCAGAAAATGAGTGTTGAAGATAAATGGTGATACACGAATGGACAAAAAAAGAGTTAATACTATTGAGCTGTAACAGTAATGATATTAGAAGAAGTAGTAGAAGGAGTACTGTGTGACAGTGGACACACATGCAGGCAATTAGCCACTCAGAGACAGCACCAGTTCCTGTTGCTATCATAATTGCTCCCTTCAACTCTTATCTTCTCCTTTTAACTTAGCCTACTCTTAGTTCAATAGTATTTTTTTAAATAATTCAGATATCCCGTAAAGGGAGCCTTAGAAAAATGATAAAGTTATCTTTATTTGATCTATAGGTTAAGAGATTCGAGTCGTAAAAAAAGCCACTAATGTTGATATTAACTCCTACGCTATCCGACTTATTATCTTATTATTGAGCTTAAGTTTTGTGCACTTGAAGTATATGATTTTTCTTACACCATGAAATCAAATAGGTGACCTGTTACAAAAAGTAATTACTTTATAGCAACCTTGCTTTGAAATCTGAAAATAGAGTAACTATTTATCATAATTTTGTTTACATTATCAGCATATGACTTATTTCGATATCCTTAAATTTAACTTGTAATATACTCACTCTTGTTCGTTAAAATATACACCTGAAGGGAAGTGAACTATTGGTGTTGATCATTAGTAAAGAGTTAAAGCTGACTTCATTGAAGCTCATAAAAATCGTTCAACTTTGATTTTTACACGTAGACAGACGATTGTGATTTCAAACTGAAAATAATTTTTAAAAAAAATTAACTGTGTTTTAACATTCCTTGTTTTTAACTGCGGTATGACATTCTTTTTTCAAAAAGAAAACATTACATGAGTTTTAGTTAAAGCGAAAATAATTTATGACTTAAATTTAACAATTTGGGAAACCTGCAAATAGTTAAGTATAAAGTAAAACGTTATATGCATTCCATATACAAGTATTACTCTATTAACTGTGAATCTATTAACAGCGGGTCAATTGGTTTTTTCGCTCTTTACAAACTTATTTTTAGTTTTATGATCCTACCTTTTTTTTTTAACATATGAGAGATTTACTTTTACACGTAAGAGATCTGTCTTTTACACATAAGAGATCTAAAAAGGTCATTTTCTTAAATTTAAAATTATAAAGGGACATGATGTACTGTATTATAATAAAAGCACATTTGAAAACGAAAGATTTAATTTGAAGAGTGGAGAGTAGAAGAAGAGAGTCTTGCGAATTTAGCAGCAAAAATCACTTAATAAGTACTCTAAAAAATTAAATAGAAACTTTGTAGGAACAGCAGAGTACGATAAACTTTTCACTACTTTGAGAGTCACTGGACCTTAGTACAATTTATGAATATAATGAATTGAAGGTACTAAATTCAGTTAATATATAGTACGAAAGCATCTTTACTCACTTCCAGTTTTCTAAATTTTCAGAAGCTGTCTTCTGCCTCGTAAAATCTGGGTTTAGCCTTAATCCACCAAGATTTCAACCTGCTCGGTTCTGTCCGGCAAAACAAATTTTTCTGTTTTCAACCTGCGCCATTCCATAGTTTATAGTGCAATTCGAGGTTGTCCTTTTGGGTTTTCATACCTCAAACTGTTAGCTGTTTATGTACACTTATTTAATTATTTATACAATCGATCTAAAGAAATTCTTATAGTTTCAGATACTTAAAAGATATTTATGGGCAACGCGAATCCAAGATTTAAAGTATATAGATTCAATCTTTAAGTTTTTTAGTATTAAACTTATTATATTTTTAAAATTATAGGTTCATGTCTACTATCTATTGCGATTTTAGTAAAATTTTACACATAAATTCATAATCTACTTCAGAAATTATGAGTTCAATTGAACCCGTAATTATAATGGTACATCCGCTCCTGTTTATGGGTAACTTTCCATAGAGTTTGAGATTTTTAATCTTGAAACTATGACGGGTTTACCTACTATCCAAATAATATTAACTGCAAATATTTTTTACCCTTAAATGGGAATATTTATTCTTCATATACGAACTAGTAAAAGGGAACGGAAGAGGGAGTAATAGTAATATCTTAAAGGGGTTGACATGAATGAGTTGATATAGTGCTACTAACTTTCATGCAATTATTTTTTGTGGCTGTGTCCTTGAAGTAATAATTCACTGAATTCATAAACTGCTATAGTTTAATATTTTCCATTAACTCTTACGTAACGGCTTTTCCTCTCTTTTTTATTTTATCTTTTTGGTTTTGATAGTTACTTGGTAATAGTAAAAGGATAAGGACTTAATAATGAACTATGAAAAGTCATACTTTGACTCTATTTTATTTGTATAATTTTGTCTACTAATTGATTATGATATAAGAAATTTTGTCTAGTTTTGGGCCTGTCTGAGTTGGAACACTCGAGCCCACAAGTAGATAACACCCACTTGAATCCTGCTTTTAAAGTCAAATACACATCTACTTGAAATTTTGATCCTTTTGCGAATCCCATTATGCAAACCAGTGTTTTCTTCTTTTAATTTTATTTTTTATTTAGGTCAATTCTTAAATGATACTGACACTTTGTTTGATAAAAGTAAAGATCTAATTAAATTACAAAATTGGTCTTACATGAAATAGATATGATTCCAAACTCTTAGCAAATTTTGATTATAAATTTTGGACTTGATTTGACCGTGTTGCGTGATAATTGAGTTACCGGGGGTGAGGTAGTTAACATAATG